TTAGTAAATAGTTATCTCCATTTTATTCCTTATTCTTCCTCCTTCCTCCTTCCTTATTTCATTTTCCTCCAATTCTTTCCCTCCACTGGAGGAGGGGAGGGGAGAGAGTGGCTTTGTGGTATTTTGCTAGCCAGAGTTAAACCACAACAACAGGAAATTTTAACAATAGGATTTGGACATATTCATCATACCCTGACGCAAACTACAGCTGAAACTAAATTGAAAGAATATGAGAGCCTAGCACGGTTACCTAGTTTTTGTTCTTGTAACAAAGACTTGAATTTTGATGGAGCAGAAGATGTGTAGCAAAGAAGAGTTAAGAGAATTTAAAGGAGAATATTGAGTTCTCACAGAGGAGAAGAAATAGTAAACAGAGAGACAAAGCATAGAGAACTGAGCAGAAGTTTCCTGTTTTTTTGTGCGCTCATAATTTGATGGACACCAGAGTTAATGCAAAATGTAAATTTTCCAAGAGAATATGTTGATTCTGCTGTTTGGATTTGTTTTTTGTGGGTTTTTTTAATTATTATTTATTTAGTTGTCTGGTTGTTTTTCTGTGTATGTGGTTTGGGTGTTTGGTTTGGTTTGGTTTGTTTTTTTCTGGATTGTTTTGTATGATGTTGACAATATTCTTCACCTCTCTCTGAGCTGCCATGATAAATGATGAACATTAATTCAGGGACAATGTTGATACAAAACCACTGGCTTTTATTTTTGTCTGCTTTTATGGAACTATTCCAGCATCTGCATGGCAATTGCATTGTCACAGGCATTTAGTAAGACAACAGAGCAACACAGCCCTGGGGACAAGGGTCAGTGAGAGATTACACTCCTACCAGGCATGTGTTGCAGCACAAAGTGTTCTTGGAGGTGGAGACACTCCCAGCATGAGTTACCTGTGAACATGAAGCAGGGTAAGGATGAGGAGAGGAGAATGGTCCTTGGTTTTGCCTCTCCACAACAAAGATGAGGGCCAGGCTGGGAAGCACTCCTGTTTCAGTTGTCCTGGCTCCTCCCATGCAGAGCTTTGGGCTTTCTCCTGGTGCCTCCACCCTCCCACCTTTCCCTCTGCCAACTGTACTTTTGCCTCTGTGTCCCAGCTCTTATATCACAGTGGAGACCTCATGCTCCCATCAATCCACTTGTTTCACATATTCCTTGATCAGCTCATTAACCTACGTAGTGTTCTTCCCTTTGCATCCCTACTTGCTTTGGTTTTCTGTGGTACCAGCGAGGAAGAAGTCAGAAAGATGGCTTTGTGAATGGAACCCTGGCCCAGGCAGTGGGCATGTCCTGTTAGGTGGTGTTTCCTCTCCCCTTGCATGCAGGGAGGGGATGAGACGGGGCTGGGCAGTACATGTTGGGGCATCTTTCATAAAGAAACAGACAAACAGACAAATAGGATGGGTTATGCACTCTAAATAAGATAGTTGCTATACCAGGATAGGAGCATGGGGAGAAAAATGCATATGTGCCAGACATGGAGTCAGACATGCCTGCTGTTGTGACTTTCATTTTGGTAGTGTTGCCTCTAGTTTCAGCTGCAGCAGGTACATTTTGGGCATATAACCTGTTCTAAGTCTGCTGTGAAGTGGCTCAGAAGGAATAAAAATCTTTAAAACTTTTGCTCAAAGACCACAAGTTCTTCAAAACACACAGGAAACATTATAAGAAGACAGTGGAATTAGCTCTAGGATTTTATTTTTAAAAAGGAGTAATGGTCTGTAAATGCCGATGGATGTTGTTTTCTGCTGAAGAAGCGTGGTGAGTACGAGACCAGCTGGGCTGAGTATGTTGGTGCCTTGACCGAGCAGGATTCAAGCAGAGCAAAAATATGATTCTTTGCAGGCTCAGGGAGACTGGCAGTAACGTAGTACATAAAAGCCTGCCCCCATAACCCAGGGAAAGAAACTTGGCAGAAACTTTGTTTTCCTTTTGTGCAGTGTTTGCCAAGACTCCGGACACCTGTGTGAGAGCCACGTGGTGAATTCCAAGAGGGTGAGGTAAAGCACAGGGCTCTGGGGTGAAATGCATTTGTCAGAAGCACTGATTGTGCTGTCGCCCCATCTGCATTGCCTGCCAGTTCCTCTTGCTCCAGACACTCAGTTTCCAAAGATATGCAGAAAAATGAAAATCAGCCTGCTGCAAAAATATTTGCTTGTCTTAAAATGTGGAATTTCCTTCCAGACCCTCCATTGTACACTGGCTGCAGGCCCAGAACAAGCAATGTTACGTAGCTCTCCAGGCTGGACCCAAGGCCCAAAACCCACTCAAAACAGGAGCTTTATACCCTTCTGTCTACAAAGTCCAGCACTGTCTCTCTTTCCTCACTGGTTTCTTTCTGTCCTTCTTCAACTAGCCTGTGAATTGTGCTATAATGCTGTTTGCTACTGCTGAAGGAGTAGAGCTGGGAAGCATCTTCCCATGCCTGAAAAGCTGGCAGGGGAATCGCTTCTGGTTCCTTGTTCTCAAAAAAGCACTTCAGGTTTCGCTCGCTCAGTCTGGTGGCATACACCTGGAAGATCTGCTCCAGTTGCTCCTTCTCCTTCTCCGCGTACACCCTCCAGAACATCAGCTGGAGGTGGCTGACTTTGGACTGGCAGCTGGCACAGCAAGTGGTTAGCAGGGAGAGAAGAGCTGTGGTGACTATCACACACCAGCCTAAAATCTGGGGAAACAAAAGAAATGGGTTTCAGATTAAAAAAGCCCTAAGTGAAAATGCTACTTAAATCAAGAGCAGCTGACAGAGTGACCACCCTTTGAGGGGGGCTGACCACTCCCTGTGGGACCGACCACCCTTTGAGGGGGCTGGCCACTCCTCGTAGGACCCTCCTGTGGGTGTCTCGTCCCCGTTCGCAGTCGGTGCCTGGCATTAACGTTAATGGGGCTTCCCTATGGGGACCAAAGGTGTCAGCATTGAGGCTTCTCACTAGCGCTCATTTTGATGCCTCCTTCTCAGGAAGGCAAAAGTTGGTTGATAAGCTAACCTCTCAAGGTAAGTTGGCTTGTTCTAGACTCTGTCTGCCTTCCTATTCTGTTTTATAACAAAGGGAAGAGACACGTCCAGTGCAATGGTAATTCTGGTTTGGGGACAGATGATCTCAGACCTCTACTACGAGACTGCGTATGAAAAAAACCTACAACTGCATTAATTAGCTAACAGGAGTATAAAAGATGGTCTTAAATTTACAAAGCATTCCCCAATTCTTTTACCCGGAGATCTACACTATTTTTGTGAACTTTTTTTGACTTTGATGAATCATCCCATTGTAGTGGAAAACTGGTTTAAAATTACATTCTTAGCCGATCCTGTGAGAGTGCTGGGAGGAGAGGGCATGAGAAAGAAGAAATAGTGTGTGCATTGGCAGGCCCATGTTGGCACGGGAATAGAGCCCAATTAATCTACACACTGATTAGAAATAGTTGCTGTGTCTTCGGAATTTTTTTTTTTCTACTGAAATATGCTTTTCTGGGATTACTCAACTTTCTCTATAGCAACTGCAGAGTTTGACAAAATTCTGTTAAGAACATTTTAAAAGAAAGAGCTACTTCCAGGCTGAAAGCAAGGGCTGAGGGTGGAAAAATATACTTGAAATTCTTATTGTGTGATGTTCTCCTCTAAGGAGAGCAGAGGAGTGAACACATTTTTTTTCATGTCTAGTGCCACTGGCCTAGCCACTAGCTCTACCCCACCTGCTCTACTGCAACGTGTAACATTTGAAAATAAAAAAAAAAAAGAAAAAAATCAAACTTGTTTTCAAACAGTGGAACAAATTCCACTGTGCAACAAATTTCCCAGGGTTCATGGACTCATATGAACTGGAACTGATTTCCTGTACTTTAATGGTGATGATATGGAGAGCTACAACCTTTCTCATGTGAACCCTTGCACTGATGTTAAAAAAATAACCACCAATTAAAAAAATCTGTATTTAGCTGAGGGAATTGAGAAAGTTTCTTTGGGGAAATATGTGAAAGAGAGAAGCTTGACAAACAGTTATTCTTAGGGAATGGTATGGAAGAACGGCTTCCCTGCTTTCTTTTCTTTTTCCAGTCACTTTCTACTGACTGATGTATTTGAGAAACTGCTCTATTTAGCAGCCTTTCACTTTTCTTGAAGGCTGGAGAATGAACCCATGTATTCTCATGCTATAAACTGAGTCACTGGTCTTGCACTATTCCCTATACATACAACTTAAAGTCTTAAGGACCATTTGTTATTTCCTTGTAAAGCTCTCAAGTAAATTGCTTTGTTTGCAGTGCAAGCTTTGCCTGCATTCCAGTCCTATTTGCATGAGGACTTGAAAATAAAACCATCTCTTAGGGAGGAAATGGTTCCAGATGGATACAATTGTCTGACAAAAACTTGCTGGCTCCACAGCATGTTTTT